GCGATATATTGTTCTTTGTAGCTAATTATACAGGGTGTTCAAATAGTGTATCAAAGCTTCGTTAATATTAGATTTGCAGGAAAAAGTTAAGTTGTAGGCATAGCTAAGGGATACAACATAAAATCATTTTCAACTATACTGGGTGCCCCGTAGATTAGTGGCAATATAAACTTGTACCTGTTGATTTTTAGAAGCGCCTCTTCTTGGCCATTCTGCCAATGTATGGTTTCGGGGATTTGTATTGTTGATATATGTATATTATCTTAATAGATGTGGTTAATGATTTCGAAAAAGTCCAGATAATCTTGTTCGTTTAATATAACATTGAAAAAATGTGGCCTATAACAAAATTGCCAATTATGCCACCCCAGACGTTTCATGACCATATCTTTCCTGACTGTGAGTTAACATTGCATATTGCTGATGGTTGGCATAATATTAGAAATTGTGCCTGTTAACACATCCATTTTTAGGCAAGTTGATTCGTCGAAGAACAGAGCATTTTCGAAAAAATCTTCTTGGTCACGGATCTATTCTTCTTTAAATACAGTTTTGTCTAAAACTGGCCAATCAAATGCCGTCTGACAATTGTAAACCTGCTGGCCAACTAATAGGACCTTCTGTCCGGGTACTGGCAAAAAATCGCCTTTTTGTTTAACATTTTTTTATAAAATTACAAAATATCTGTAAGTAATGTATTTGTTGTCGGCGAAAAGTTAGCAACATATACAATCACCTCCAAAAGCATTAGTTGTGTTATCCTGAACACAAAATTTGTAATTATACGTTGTCTAAACTGCCGACCACTGGCACATTCACCCTACCTACACGAAACAAATTACTATCTGATAATTTGAAGGTCTACCTAGGAGATTCCATTTTTTTCTGAAATAATTCCGGTTTGGCAATGTCATGTTATGCATTTTTAAAATCAGAATTGAAAACTCTATTCATCTGTGCAAAAATCCAATATGACGTCCATAAGAAAAATAAAGTTGATGCTGGAGATCAAGAGACGAAACGTCATATTGAAATTCTGATTATACCAATTTGAAGAGGAGAAAATGTAGCAAAGTTAGTGTGCAATTTATTTTAACATCCCACTACAAATATTATATAAATTTTGGGAAAATTCGGTACCCTACGTCTCACTCCTGAATTTCGAGACTTTCTAAGTGGCATTTGTTACATAAATACGCAACTTTACCCTAACTGAAGCGGCTTCGTATCTCTTGCCGTTTCCAAGATACTACTGGTGAAGGTCGAATATAAAATACCCGGTATATGCTAGCAGTGAAAGTCCAAAAAGTTATACTGGAGGCCCGATAAGTATATTTTGCTGATAAGCGTTCACCCCAGTCTAGATACCCTTTATAACTATTTTAAGATAAACTCATTCTGTGCGCACTACACGACGTAAGCAAGTTTCAAAAAAGGGCAAACCATGTAAATATGGGTAAAATAAAATAAATTAGCACTTACCATTTTCCCGCCATTTCGGAATCGCGGTATCTGCGAAGTTTTTCTTCATTCTTCCCGTAATCCAAAGGTGCAAATCACTACAAGCACTCATAAACACTCATTCCACACGTCACTAGCACATTTTCCTAGGTACGACAGGGTTTTCCATCTGAAAACACAGAAATCAGCGCTGCCGAAGAGCCCATTAAGAGATCCGCGAAGACTGTTGAAACGTGAAACAATTGCAGGATTGCATGCCAGACGACAAACGTTTTTCTAGGATTTGAAGTTGACCGGGGCCCGAACTCAGTTCTGAGAATTCTTCCAGACATGTTTGTATTAGCAAAGGCAATTTCGTTTATTTTAATTATTAATGTCTTCGGAGGTACCTTCTGCAGTTCCGTAAATATGATGGCAAAGATATATAGATAAATCATATTGTTATATTTTTCTTTTATAAAATATTCTGTTCGAATTTCTAAATAACGTATCAATTAAATAAGGGCCATTCTAAAAGGAAATACTGAAATGCGGTCTTGCAAACGGTGTCAAGTAAGCTAACTCTGCATCTTTCTTGAAGTTGAATGAAATTTGTTGCTTGTCGGTTTTCGTCGAATTCTGTCATGGTTCAGTCATTATTGGTAACGGTATCGATCGAAATGCTGAATCTGCGCCCAAATCAGATTTCTTTTAGTAGTAAATATAGCTCTTTTGGACCCATTGTATCGATTAATGAATAATTTTTAGTCTTAAGAACAGAATTAGCGAATAATAATATTTTCTTAAACATCTAGGATGGCTTACCGAATATCAAAAATCTTGTGCTAACGAAATCTTGTAGGTCGAATCTGCCTGTAACCCGGCACAACCAGTAGTCGGACAAATGTTATATTATTTGTAAAAACTTGCGGCAGCTGCTGGGAAAAGCTAGGGTGTTTGTTGAAGTCTAAGAAATACACTCGTCACTCTGCACAAGGCCGAGATAAGACGTAGTTTCAAGATCTGCTCACATGTGTGTAGTGTTCCCGCCCCAACTACATTATTTATGTTCGGTGCTGTACAGAGGAGGAATGTCCAACTGATCGGTGGCTGTTCTCTCTGGACGCTTTCTCAGCGATCTAACATAGCTCTCGTCCACCGCTACGCCAAGTGGCTTCCTCATATGTTCCCTCCATGATGCCGCCGCGTGATGTGCCTGCCAGACGGACCCACCTGAATTCGGCCTCCCTTCCAAGCCGTATCGAACTTGGTGCATCCAGGATTCTATGGACAGGAATTTTTAAAATCATTGTCAAAATCGTATTTTTTCGCATATGCTCAGTATAACTGCAAAGGGAAGATGTAGCAAAGCAAACATTCGCAATTGGGACGTGGAAATCAGGACGAGCTTCTAAAACGTATAATATTGGGCAAGCCCATTCATGCTCGCCGAAATGCATAATGAACGTGCCACAAAAAAGCCGTGTCTACGTACCTTCATACAAGTTCTCGGTTTTTAATTTTCGCCTGGCTGTTTTTTATAACAGGATTAATAACAGAGAATGGCTGTCCCATCAAATTCCTCTTTTAATGGAGGAACTAATAAGCTGCTACCTGCTATGCCCGGAGCACTATTAAAGTGCAACTTCCGTTAATGTCATATTTTTTATAATCACGGAATAATGACGAAAAATTGATTCTTTTTTACTATTAAGTCACGTATATTAGAATTTTAAATGGATATTTTGTATTTACAAAGGAGCGCTCCTTTGCTCGTGAAAGCTTCAGCTTCGGAATGAAATGGCAGCTGCAAGCTGCGGGCAATTTTCCGGAATTAAAAGCTCCAACGCAAAATTGGTTCCGATATTGAATCTTATGCTTACAGCAAAATAGTGGACAGCATATTCAAGCTCAGGTACTTTCCTTTCATCAAGGGCTTTTATTAGTTCCAGCTTCCATTTCTGAACTTCATTTTGGTCATTGAAGTGTCGCAATTGCGGAAAGTTTCGAATGCATACCGGCAGTAGTGGACTATTGCGAAATTTGGAATCTAAGTTACATTATACTTAAGAAAAGGCAAAATATGCGGTAGGAAAATGCATTTGAAAAAGGTCTCCGTCCACTTTCATTAGGCAAGGGTCAAGTTAGCCCCATATACCACCTGAATATTTCAGGGTAAAGGTAGCAGTTGAGAATATCAACCTGGGAGAGAAATAAATCAAATGTATGTCATTTACTGAAGCAGATCACCTTGTGATTGGAACAGGAAAGAATATTTGATTTTATATAGTTCATAGTGTTATTTGAATAAAGTAAATATAGTATAGTAATTAGTCCCAAAGGAAGCCACGCCGATTACAAAAGCAATATTAAACAGAGCGAAAAGCACGTGTAAAGACAACACCCATGTGATTTCAATTCAGCTGAGTTCAATTTATTTTCCATAGACAGGCATATCTGCACAGGAATTGTCACTACAGTAAATTATAACACTAAAAGATAAAAGTGATTAATAAAGTTTCCTAAAAAAGTACAAAACTACTATACTATGAAAACGTATAAACATAAGTCTAAAATTTTATATAGGCACGTAAGAGGTAAAATTTTCATAATCTTACAACATTATAAACATGATTAAACGTTAGGGATACTAGCAATCTTTTTTTGTGCAACGAAAATATCCAGATCATGGATAGAGCTGCCTCACAAGCAAATTCCATAACGGAGTCAAGATTCGAAATCATCTTGATAGTCTCTACTTATGGTGTGTCTAATACTGTACGTATGTTAATAATGGCTTTACTATCCAATGGTTTCCCATTTACAGGATAATATTACAATTAAATTACATGACCTTGTGTGCTATTATGCATTAATAAGATAATATAATGTAACAACCGAAGGAACAATTATAAAATACTATAATAATAATATCCTAAATACAGATGCAAGTAACTGGCCTAAAAACAAAAATTTAAAGTTCAAAATTAGTTCCTCTTCGCCATTCTGATAAGCTCAGAAGGCACAGGACACACATCAGAGCAATGAACATATCCTTGCAGCAATTTAAATAAAGACAACGCCGCTGTACGGTGTCGCTGATACTCTAAACTAGGTATTTCAAATCTATTACATAGTTCATAATTATTGATTCCCCTTTCGGGATAAATGTCGTCAACTTTGAAGGAAAGGAATTTAAGAAATGTTTGCTGAACTCGTTCAACACCAATCTTATACACCTCATAATATGGATTCGATATAATACTGGCATATTCAAGTTTAGATCTAATGTAAGGAAAGTAAAATATTTTAATAGTGCTGATATTGTCAAATATCGTATAATTCTTTATCAAAAAACCATATGATCTTAATGCTTCAGATACAGTTTTCTCAATGTTTTGCAAAAAAAAATTACGTTCGTAAATAACACCCAAATTCCTAACCTCTCTATATCTAAAATCTATTCTTTCTTCCTTGTGGAATGTGGAACTCACCACCCTACCCATTTAGTGTTAACTTATACTCCAACTACCACGAAGGCCTAAGGCCTAAACACCCATGGGGTACCGTGGGGCTATAGGGGGATACAGGGGAAAGGGGGAGCGCCACACGGACTCTGGCGAGGGAACACGTGTGCATGCAACATGCACATATTCTGGCCCCACCAACGAGATCCGCCGGGTGGTACCTCCGCGTTCGACGGTCAGAGACCGTCTACCACCTACGGACAATCACAACATCCATAATCAAGAGAAAAATTTCGCTTGGGACGGGATTCGAACCCGCACAGCGTACGGCGACTGATCAGGAGGCCGAAGAGTCTACTACTGCGGCCACCGCTGCTGCCTCAGTGCTTCGCTATTCTCAGGGTGTCAGGCTGTCTCTGAAATTCCCAGCAATCAATAACATTAGATATTGTGCGATATATTTTTAAGTCATCAGCGATGCCAAGTTTTTCTACTGTTAAAGCATCCAATAAATCATTTGTAAGAATTAGAAGTAGTAACGGTCCCAAGTTTGATCTCTGTGGAACTCCAGATGTAGCTACTATATAGTACATTATGCATGTCAGTATTACAACGTTCAAGCAAATTGTTATTATCTAAATCGCTTATTATTAAAGATATGTCATCAGCATACACAACGTAGGTCCTAAAATTGACCCTTGAGGAACTCTCATAAATAAGGTTTCACTTTTTGATGTTGATTCATCAACCGACTATGTTCCGATATGTTGGAATGAAATATATTGCTCTCGTTTAGAAACAAAAGATTCAATCCATTCCATTTACTTCTTATAACATATTATTCCTCTAATATGGATAATAATATTGAATGCCCTGCTCATGTCAACAAATAGAGTCGCACATCAATATGCTCTAGGGCATTCGTTTAGCGCTGTGATGGTAGATTTTTGTGAAGTTAAACCATGCTGATGTGTGCTTATGGTTTCACATTTGTTAATAATATTATTAAATCGGTCTAGAAATGCATATTTGAATAATTTGAGGATTGTTACTGGTGTACAGTGATTTGCAGTCTCGCTGACATTGGTTGAATCGGGAATGGCAGCGTCACCGTTGTGGAATTCCTGTTAATAATTCGACCTTTAAAACGCTGAATAAGAAATATCTAATCCCCATGCAACTATTGCATCACTTTAAATATTTCATTTCTTTCTCAGAAACTAATCTCCTTTAAACGAATGCAAGTCGTATGACCTATATTTTAGACTACTTCTACATGAGCGGAGCCGCTTAGGCTGGTAACTCATATATTTCAAGCATGAAATTAGCTTACAATCCTTTGGCGTGGCAGTTCCCTTATTTCAGTAAAATAATACTGTTTGTTCCTTAAAAAAGCACGTTGAACGGCCTACCTGTAACAGCGTCAATGTAACTACTACTAAGTATTTATCTTTCATCATGTCGAAGTCCATGCTGCTGATTCGCAATCGTATTAACGTAAAGTAGAATTGAACCGAATAGCCCCGGTCCTGGCCCTAAAAGTAAATTAGCAGCTTACGCCGAACGTTTCCGAGTAATTCAATTCGCTCGGATCCGCTAACCAAATAAACCGCAAACGAAAAAGTGCGAGACGTTCCTCTCATTTACCCCCTTTAGAATTCTATGGGTACACGAGTGCATGGGTGTGCTCGTGTTTTGAGACGCCGTGGTGCGTGAAGGTCTAAAGTAGTCTAGAAATCTTGTAAAATGAGAGAAAACCAACGAATTGGGACTGGATAGAAGGAGCAAGCGGACAAGTTGTTTGTAACTGAAGTTAAGTAGGCACTAGTGAGGATGCAAGTTCATACAACAATTCGATCAGACTTCAGATGCCAGTTGTTGACATACCATACTAAATTCGTACTTTTCTGCAAAATCATATGCTGCGCGGCAGCATAACTTCCTTTTTTAAAATGCTCGCCATTCAGTAGTAACTCGTTCGAGAGACACAAGGTTTTGACCCAACACAGTCCAGTTGCTATCATGCTTTGGAACAGTGATGAGAGTCCGTAAGAAATTGAGACCTACTTTAAGAGCTGATCTTCTGAGATCGCAATCCAGCACGCCTTTAGGAGTTGCCTTAACTTAGCCCAGTTGGCCTCTGTCTCGGACCGGAAATTGTTGCATGGATAACTGCGTTCAAACGAACTGCAAGTGCGACAAGACGAAGAACTGGAGTTCCTCGCCCCACTAGATCACCCGAAAACATTGTGGCAGTTTCTACCTTGCTTTTTTCGATCGTTCTGTCAGAAGAATTTTTCACGATGGTCTTAATTTTTATCGTTACAAGGTGGAGATTGTACCGGAACTTTCTTAACGTGACGTCAGTTCTCGGATAAGCACGTGTGTGCATCTTCTCAACGTCGATTAGAAAATGGACGGGGTAGCACCCAAACCAACACAACTAAACGTAAGGTAGAAAATAAAGGGTACTCGCCCTTTCAGAGGACGCTATTATTTATTTATCTTTTTTAGCAATGAATCCCATTTTCATTTGTGAGGATCTTTTCATTCACCTAAAGTCACAGTGCCGTGTGCGATTTTCTCAGCTGGAATTATTGGTCCCTTGTTCTCTGAGGAAAATGAAGTGTGAATTTGGGCCGGCACGGGTATTATGTAAAATCCTATAAAACGTCAAAAAAAACTATAAAATCTCATCTTGCAGACTATTTAGTTTTTAGGGTGCATTCCACGTTTGCTCACTAGGATCGTTGTGAGCGTCCATCTATGGAGGAATAGCTCAATTATACGCATTGTTGGTTGCATATGTTTTGTGAAGCCGAGTAGTCTAGAGCTTTCATCTCTGAAAAAAAAGTGTTGGTCATAATCAGTGATATTTGCTATGTTAGAAAATCATTACTGGATATGCCGCCAAATAAGTAAATCTATTAGCCGTGCCCGACAGGTTATTTATATGTTGTCCTTTCTGAAGACAGGTTATGTTCCAAGTTATAAGTTACGATTTTTTGAATTTTTGTTTTCAAAAACTTCGAGGAGAATTACGGGAAATCACCACCGCACCCGCGTTGTGTGTAATTACTGTCAGCATGTATATGATTTGTAATTCGACAGTGTACAGTTAATATAATTATTTATCTCTCTCGTTTTTGAAATTCAGCAAATATGCATATGTAATTTCCAGAATGGATAAGAAAACGTGGATGCGCAACTAATTTCTAGCTTTGAATCTCGAGTAAGTGTATTTGAGACAAAAATCCAATGGAAATATCATCAACACATATCATTAGCACATAAATCCTGATTATGCACCCATGCAAGCCTCATGACGCTCAGGCAACACGTACAACAACCGAACTAGTTCACAACGTGTCCATCAGCTAGTGCTAAGTTAGAAAAACCTACATAATGTAAACATGTTTACTGCTAGATGAGTTGGACTTAGAGGAGATTTGGTTCTAATAAGATGGTGCAACGGCACATACTCCAAGAGCATCGTTTGCTGTTTTGAAGGAGCACTTCTCAAAGAGATTCATCAGAATTAGGGCTGATTTGGAATAGCCGGCCCGCTCTCCCGATTAAGCCTCGTGTGATTTTTCGACACGGTTTTTTAAAATCCTGTATTTATGCATTGGGCCAAAATATCATATCGTCGTTCTGATGATGGATAAAGATCCATAAAGTTAAGCAGTTTATTATGTGTAGAGTACCGCGCCTACGGTTTCTCAACGAACTGAACCAACACAGGGTGCTGAAACGCTAACCTCAGAAATGGTGTACCAGACTAGAAGTTTATCAGCAAACTAATAATCCGACCACGATGGTCAACCTTAGATAGCTGTTTCGTGCTATTTGGCTACTCTTCAGCAGGATCTAGGCATGGTCTCATGAACGAAATCTAAACATATATCCAAACTATTAGATCAATCGAGAAAACACAGTACAAAGTGCCATCTAGGGCATGCAGTTCTGACTCAGCCGATAAAAAATGTATTGTTCTTTTATCAAACCTGATAGTTATGTGTTTTCTTTCAAAGTGATTTGAGATTATAGGGAAACGGCTTCTATTTACTATGTAAGGCTAAACACGATAATATTGAAAAATGGATTATACTTATCTCCCAACGAAATTAAAAACTATGTAGCCCAATTTAAAAGAAAATTAAATTTTTGACTATTATGTATTTACAACGATGAGTTAACTTCTCATACTTGATTTATGTTGGTAGACTAAGCAGATCTAACCACTCTAATACTACTTCCTCTATCAGTTTTAACTGAAATGAACTCTTCTACACAAATGAAATGCAACACAATTCTGTTGGTCAATCTACTTATCACCATTGTTTTCAAAGCTATTATAAACTCCCTCACCCATTATATTGCTAGACATATGCGGTGGGTGCTAGTTTTTGACAATCCAGCTCGGAAGGCAAACTGACGGTTTGTCAAAATTTTATTAGTGTTTAACTAAGAGTCAATCTTTATTGCAATTGCTTCTCACTTTTACCGTATACTATAACAAAATTTCATTTCATGACCTATGTTCAGATTGTGACGGAATTGACGGTGGTCAATGACTAAAAAGAAATAAAACTTTTCTTATAAAGCCTGGACACATATCTCTATGTGTGTTTTGTGTGCGTGGATCCCTAAACTTTAATGGAGATAGTTGGATGACTTCCAAACATCGGCTTCAGATAATTAATTTGAACCCTAGTTTCGATTAACCTTTGTTACGAACTTAATTTTCCAAATGTGAGTGCAAGCTGATTTAATTGGACAAGTTGTGTCCACCAATTCGTGGGATGGTCAGTTCATCAATGTACTTACTCATCACCATTGTTTTCAAAACTATTACAAATTCCCTCAACCATTATGTTCTCCTAAATGGACTTGTTTGTCATCTCAGCCTTTACGACAACTGAATTAAAACTCGGTTAGTTGCATACTTTAACATAGAATAGAAAGGAACAAGTTTTATTTCAATTTTAGTACAAGGCTTTATTGGAATATATAAAAAGTAGAGAGTATAAAACAAACAAAACAATTTGGATTAACGCATAACTAAGAAACGTTTAAAAGGCATAGTTAAAATATTCTTCTAAGGAGTGAAAAGGGTTTTCTAAAAATATATTTCTCACATTTCTCACAAAGACTGTCACATTTTTCGTCGCTTTTATGTGCATAGTCAACGCAATATACAATTCTGTAAGCATGACGTTTGGTCCCTTTGACGTGAGGGCAAGCCGATGCA